AAAATTTGTATGCAATGTACAAAAATCCAATCCAATATATAATATTTAAAACTAGTAGTTACCTTTTAAAAGTAGATTCAATAATCAACTTTTTTATCTTATTATATCCATATTCTCGTCTTTTGTTTTCAGAGTAGATTCAATAATCTACCTTTTATCATACATACATATATATATATATTCATACAAATATATATATATATATATGATATGATATATCTTTTTTGTCTTTTCCTTTTTTTGTTTTTTTTTCAAACAAGAACACTAAATCCAATCTCCGTTGTTTAGTTTTTTTCCTGACTATTAACAATAATTTGTAACCAACCACCCTAAACTTGGGACAAGGTTTCTGGCTGATTCATCCTTTTTATTCAGATGTCACATTTGTCCATGTTCTTCAAATTCCTTAGCTTTCATTCTCCTGAAAAACAAAAACAAAACCCTTCCCCAATCCTAACTTTAGGGAGGTTCCCCATCTAATCTTTATCAATTTTGATTTATAGTTTCTATTTAAAATTTTGTTTTACTTTGTAAAGGTGTTCTATCATTCAGACAAGTATGGTTTCTTACAATGGTCATTAGGTTCTTTAATTGCTCTGGGAAGGAGTTTCTTCCACAATGACAGGAAAGGACTGAAGAGAATTTGACTGCAAGAGGTCCTTCAGGGTGTTTCCTGGTGGCAAAGGCAAGGGATTACCTTGTCTGTCCCTTGTTGATCTACATTTGTTAGTCCAATTTCTGCCTTTGCCACATCTTCTGCATAATCCAGAAGGGAGGGGTGTTCTATTGCCATTGTTCTTTGAAAAAAAGAAAAAAAAAACATTATTTCTAGGAATGCCCTGTTTATAGTCCCTTTTTAGGTAACCTTGTTTACCACAATTTAAACATCTGACATTCCTATTTTTTTTCAAACCTCTGGAAATTACCTCTCCCATCCATGCACCACCATGATTATGGGATTCAATATTTATTGTATCTCAGATCCATTCCTCCAAGGGTGTTGATCTTGCCTTTAATGGTCTAATTACCCTTTTGAATTGTGCATTAGCATTTTCAAAAGCCAGCAATTCAATTATTATCTGTTTAGTTTCTGAATTTGGTATCAGTCTATTTACTGCTGAGGACAGCTTTTGTAAGTAATCAGTAAAGGTTTCTTTTGAGCCCTGTATAACTTACGTAAATGACTCATTTTCTTTCCTACTTCTCCAGTTCTGTCCCAAGCATTCAAGGCCACCATTTGTCATAAAGCCAGGGTATGGACATTATACAGAGATTGCCTTTCAACATTAGCATAATTTCCCTCTCCAAAAAGTTGATGTTCGGAGATTTCCGTATCTCTGGCCCTACTTCATTGTTCAATGGTCTTAGCCTCATCCTTCCACTGGGTCCCCCATTGTAATTTGGTAACAGCTTCTAAGACAGCTGTAAACAAAACTCTCAAGTCTTGAGGGATAATTCTGTTACAAGTTGATAATGAATTTAACATCTCCTTCACAAATGGGGAATGCATACCACATGATACTATAGCTTTTTTGAATCTCCTCAAGTTTAACATTTGCACAGGAGTCCAGTCAGCTCTTACACAGCCTTGAGAATTTTGTAGTTACTGTAAGGTTATGGGATAGATTAGGGTTGGCTGTTAAAAGCCTTAGGCTGTTTCTCTATAACCATATAATGCAATGCTGAGATTGCCTTACCTTTAAATTCTTCTGTCTGGGTCTGAATTTCTCTATAATCTGCTTTAACAAGTTTTTACTAAAATTTTTATCTTGGTCCTCACATAATCCAACTTTTTTAATGATAAAACAAAAATGATCAAACAAATAATATTTATAACTGACATTACATAAATCCCATCTACATTAATTATCTTCTTATTTAATTATTCCATTTTCAGACTGTCAATTGTATTATAAAACAGAGATAAAATTACCGCATTGTAAAAAAGTTTCCCATTTTTTTAATGTGGAAAAAAATCTCTTTTTAACTAATTTCTTCCTTTAAGAAATCCCAGTTGTCTCACCAAATCTGCAGACAATGACGATTCAGATGTGAGGCTCACTGCTTCTGCATAGAACAGTAGAAGTGAGTTTTCTAGGCAGCTATGTGTGTGGTAACAGCCCAAGATGGGGATCCAGGGAGAGCCCACAACTCACCAAGAGAGAAGAAGCCAAAGAGCCAGCCATCTGCATTAGGGAACAGGAGAAAGAGGGTAACTCCTACAGTTTTGGGAGCCTCCCAAATCCTCCGGAGTTTACTGAAGAAAGGCTGCAACATAAATTTAGCTAGCAGGTTAAGGACTTTGGCCCATGTTGGGTGGAGACTCTGGCTATGGCTATGTGGAGATCAGGCCTGAGCTGGGGCCTACAAGGCCACAGGCAAGCAACTTTTTTTTTAAATTCATGGCATACAAGTTGGATACCAGATGTTGTATGAATTTCTAAAGGACTTTCAATAAAAAACCTAGAGCCAGATATCATGGTGAAAGCTGAAAGATCAGAGTTCTTTCCTTAGTTCTTCCCTCTACAAAATCCTCAACCTAAAGAGAGTGAGTTCCTGTTTCCTCATGCCTTATATACCTTTCTCTGCCCTGCCATATTACTTAGTGAAATTAAAGGCATGTGTGCTTCTCAAGCAAAGGCATGAGATCTCAAGTGCTGGGATTAAAGGTGTGTGCCACCACTGCCTGACCTCTATGTCTAATCTAGTGGCAGGCTCTGTCCTCTGATCCTCAGGCAAGTTTATTAGTGTACACAATATAGTACCACACACATAAATCTTTTTTTTGTTTTACACAGTATAAGATCAACAGTCCATAAGAGGGTGATGCTCATATTCAGAGTTAATTTCACCTTCTCACTTAATATTCTCTGGAAATATCCTCATAGCTATACCCAGAGGTATGTTCTAAGGTATTTAAGATTTAAGGTAATTATATATATATATATATATATATATATATATATATATATATATATATTTCATGTGATGGTATTTTGGCTGCATGTATGTGTATATACCATGTATGTGCATAGTGCCCATAATGGACATAAGAGGATATTGGATCTCCTGGAATTGGAGTTACACATGGTTGTAAGACATTATGTGAGTGATAGGAATCATACCTGGGTCTTCTGTCAGAGCAGCAAGTACTCTTATGCACTGAGTCATCCCTTGTAGCCCTCCCCAGGTGATTCTAAAGCCCTTCAAGTAGAAATTGAAAATTGGTCATCACATTTGACTCCTAGGAGTGATGTGAAGACTTAGTAACAAAGTATGCAGAGTCCTCTCTGCTTCATTGTGCAAGAAGTACATAAAGACTTTGTTGGTAGAAGGACACTGAAGTGATCTCAGCATTGTATATACTTACCAAAGTGCATCTAGATTTTAGAAATTTGCTATATAGCACCATAAAACCTATTTTACATTTCTCTTTCCAGTTGTGATAAAAACCCAAATTTTGATTTTAAAACTTTTGCTAAAGACAGCCCAAACTCTTGAACTTTGTAGCTTTTGCTGAAGGTGATTTTTCAGTACAAATAAAGAGCTTCCAGAAAGTCAGAAATTAATAAATGGATTTGGGTACACACTTAATGGCTCTCCCATTATTAGATAGACTAACAAGATTCCAGCATGAAGAAAGATAAATGAGCTCCAGCAGTGTAGGGAGGAATACGTCTTTTTTTTCCAAGATAATCTTTTGCAGAATCAGCAACTTTTCTCTGATAGCTTTTTACTGAAGCCAATACATGAACCAAACATAAACTAGTCATTCTTAGAGGATATATCATGAAGAGAAGAACCCTACGCTTGCTTTGGTTTCAATATGAACTCCTGGAGAGGTCCAAACAATACCAAGTTGTCCCAATCATCAGCATACCATTGGATTCATCAAATAAAAATTTATTTTGTAGAATATTCTGGAGTATCCAATCACTTCTGCAATTCCAAGGAGGCCAAGCTGAAAGAAAATAGAAAAATCTAAGTATAGAGAGGGTATACTCAGTCTCTTGTGCTTTCCTGACCATGGGGCATCAGACAGAATACATTTTCATGAGAGAAAATATATATTTCATTACCAAGTAGTTAATCAAAGAAAATAACTTGAGTAAATGAGAAATACCTATTGCTTTTAAAGGGAAATTAAGAATAGAACTCAGGTGTTGGAAAATCTTGTCACAAAGGATACTTTATGTATGTATTAATAGCTCTAGATTTTGGATCATTTGGATTCTCAACTATACTGAATTAAACATTTCATATATGTATTAATGGTTGTTGAAATTTGCATGAAAACCATAGATATAGTAAGATAGAAAATACAGGATAGCCACGAGAGGGCCTGGAACCTATTCCAGTGGGTTCTGACTGTCTCTGACCTAGGGTACTTATAGAAACATCAAGGGATGGGGTAAGAGACCTCCCCCCAGCACAGCAAAGTGCAGACCATCTCAGACACCTGTGTGGTCCAATCATCCTCTATGCAGACCTGCTGGGTAAAGCCACAAAGTACCTGAAAAGGGTCTCCCACAGATCTCTGGATTGTAGCATGGTTGCATGCTACACGTTTGTCTTTCTGGGTCTAGGTTACATTGATCAGACTGATATTTTCTAGTTCCATCCATTTGCCTTCAAATTTTATAACGTCTTTGTTTTTAACAGCTGAGTATTACTCCATTGTGTAAACGTACCACATTTTCTTAATCCATTCTTCAGTTAAGGGTATCTAGGTTGTTTCCAGGTTCAGGCTATTATGAATAACATTGCTATGAACAGAGTTAAGCAAGTGTTCTTGTGGTATGATTGAGCATCCTTTGGGTATATGCCCAAAATTGGTATCGCTGGGTCTTCAGGTTGATTGATGGCCAATTTTCTGAGAAACCACTATATTGACTTCCGAAGTGACTACAAAAGTTTGTACTCCCACCAGTAGTGGAGGAGTTCCCCTTGCTCCACATCCTCTCCAGCATAATTTATCATTAGTGTTTTTGATCTTAGCCATTCTGACAGGTGTAAGATGGAATCTCAGTCATTTTGATCTGCATTTCCCTGAGGTAAAAAGATGTTGAACAATTCTTTAAGTGTCTTTTGGCCATTTGAGATTCTTATGTTGAGAATTCTCTGTTTAGATCTGTACCCCATTTTTAATTGGTTTATTTGAGTTTTTTGCTGTCTAGCTTCTTGAGTTCTTTGTATATTTTGGAGATCAGCCCTCTGTCAAACATGAAAATATTTTTCCATTCTGTAGGCTGACATTTTGTCTTATTGATATTGTCCTTTGCCTTACAGAAGCTTTTCAGTTTCAGGAGGTCCCATTTATTAATTGTTGATCTCAGTGTCTGTGCTACTGGTGTTCTATTCAGGAAGTGGTCTCCTGTGCCAATATGTGTGAAGCTATTTCCCACTTTTCCTTTTATCAGGTTCAGTGTAACTTGATTTATGATGAGGACTTTGATCCACTTGGACTTGAGTTTTGTGTAAGGCAATAGGCATGAATCTATTTGCATTCTTCTACATGTACAAATCCAGTTACATCAACACCATTTGTTAAAGATGCTCTTTTTTCCTTTGTATAATTTTGACTTCTTTGTCAAAAATTTAGTGTTCTTAGGTATCTGGATTTATGTCAGGGTCTTTGATTCAATTTCATTGATCCACCTATCTGTTTTTATGTCAGTACCATACTATTTTTATTACTGTATCTCTGTAATAGAGCTTGAAATCAGGGGTGGTGATACCTCTGGGAGTTCCTTTATTATACAGGATTGTTTTAACTATCCTGAGTTTTTTTGGTTTTCCATATGAAGTTGACTATTGTTATTTTGAGATCTGTAAAGAATTGTCTTGGGGTTTTGATGGGGATTGCAGTGAATCTATAGATTGCTTTTGGTAAGATGGTCATTTTTACTATGTTAATCCTAACAATCCATGAGCAAGGGAGATCTTTCCATTTTCTGATATCTTCTCTAATTTCTTTCTTCAAACACTTAAAGTTCTTATCATACAGGTCTTTCACTTGTTTGGTTAGAGTTACCCCAAGTAACTTTATATTATTTGTGGCTATCGTTAAGGGCAACAGCAAATATTTTAACAGCATTCCTGGAGGCACTGTTAGACAGTAACACCTTGACGATGTCCCTGTACCCATTCTTGGATACATCATAGAATGGTGAGTGATTCTGATAGCTAGTAATGTTCAACAAAGCATTTATGCTGTAGCAGCAATTCCATTAACTTCAGGTCCCTATGACTGTAGGCTTCATGCAATGGTGTCCATCCAGCATGGTCTTTAACATTTGGGTAATTTTCACTTACCTCTTGTAGAATTCAACAGAAGGTATATCAACCTTAATAGAAGCAAAGAAGCAAAGTCTCTCCTCTGTGATTTCTTTTTTTCCCAATTGTAATACTGGTGTTGGGTCCTGGCCCCTGTTTTGGGGGAGCTGTTGCCTTGCTTGCTAACCTTGATCAGATGTCCTTCCTATGCTAATTCCCTGCTGGTTTCCTTCCTCCTAAGCAGCTTACCAAAGGTTCCTTGTTTGTGTATCCTGTATATTGGCGTAATGCTAAATGTAAAACACCTGTAGCTTACTTTTGCCCTCCCACTATCTTCCACTGTACTGTAAGTCTGTATTTAAGGCGTCCTCCCTCCTTCAATAAAGGGCATTCTACTGGGACGAATGACCTGCTGTCTTGTCTCTCTTTTTAATCCTTAGCCCCTTTCACGGACATGGTAAATGGGTAGTAATGCGGGTGTTGCTACATACTGGGAGACAGCTTCACTATAGAGAGGCTTGACATCATCTGTCTGTGAGTTGAATTACTCAGCAAAGGTGGTGAGGTATGACTTCTATGGAAGTCATCTGATACTTTACTGTTTCTCCTCAGTGTGACATCAACTGGAAATGAAGGTAGTAAAGAACAGTCAACTAACAGTACATTTTTCTGAAGGAAGTAAAGTGTAGTCAGAAGATTTCCTGTGTCCCAGCCTGCTGGTGGTCAGGACAACTCTCTCCCAAAATGTGGGTCAAGAGTTTCCACCTAAAACCCAAGAAAAATAAAATAAAATAAAAATAAAACAGAGCTAAAAACAGCTTTCTAGTTGTGTCTCTAAAGGCCAGTTGCAGCCTCCAAGGTGGGTTCATGGCATGCAGACCTACAGCATGGTGGATTCTGGCCACGGTGCACAGAGGCTTCTCTAAGCTGTGTATTACACTGTGTGGTGGATTTAGCCTTTGCTAGTAGAGCAACAAACAAACAAACAAACAAAAAACCTGGGTCATGATGCCCAATTGTCTGTTTGTCTTGAGGTTTAGGATCCAGGTTGGAGTATAACACACTGAACATTCTGATCCAACACAGTCACTCATCCAATCACTACAGGAAATGCACTCACAATCTCCTAAGCACATGGCTCCTTCAGAATATTAACATAGTGGGAACAGTTCAACCGCTTCTCCAGGCAGATGAGTGCCTCACATCTGTGGGCTCAGGGCCTCTCAGAAGCCAGCTCCATGGTCAACACTGGAGAGGGCTTGTTCTCCAAGAGAAACCTTGACAGCTATCCCCTCAGAAGGTAAGAGGTCAAGTGAGTTTGGGTGCCACAGGATGTCCTACTGATGTCCTGATCCTTTTAAAGTGTACTTTTACAAAAGATATATGACTCAATTTCCTCAAATGAGCATAACAAACCTATAAAAAGCTTAAGTGGTTAAATATACATCTTTTAAGTCAGTTTCTGTTAGCCTGAATAGATCATCATAAAGTTAGAAATTTATGAAACTTAGTCATCAAACATATTTTGTTTGTAAGTACTATCATCCATGAACAAGGTTTATGGTTTTGTCCTCAACTGCTATTTTTACTCTTAGGACAGAAATCATCATATGAATTCTATCCTTATCCAAAATAGCTCCTTTAATAAATTATAAAAGTGACTGATATTGTCTCCTTAGTTTAGGGAAGACAAAATAAAATCAACCACCTTGGAGCCAGGTGTTGTCTCTTTAGTCTAATAAAAAAATCTATTTTCATAAGCAAGATTTGAATAAAAGTTGCATATATGATATGCTGTAGCAAATTAAAATTATCTATAACCTTTACTAACTAACTTTTTTTTTTACTAGCTAACTTTTACTGCTAGGGATTTTACAGAATAAAAATATAATAACATACCCAATGGGTCTTACAAATCCTAAGATAAAGTTTACATTTCAACAAAAACATCAAAGACAGTAAACAAAATCAAGAAAAAGATGTGTTTGTATTTAGAGAGCCAAATGTTACACTTAGTTGTTAGTAGCTTCTATTCAAAATAGTTTAAACTCTTATCTGTTTTCAAACTTATGTGTCTACTTCTGGCATGTTCTGTTTTGTTGGCCTTCTCCCTGTCACAGAGTCAGTCTGACCCTGAACAGAGGCTTTGTGGGAAGTTTTTCAATGAACATACTTACATATGTAGTAGGCAGGCAAAATCTTATCTCCAGAACTAGCCTTTTAGTAGACTAGCACAGCACTTAACAATATTCCAATGTTACCCATACCCAATAGACATTCAGAATCCTGTGATCAAAGAGAAGGGGGGAGGGGTGGGGAGTAAAGGAATCTTAGGGATAAGTTTTTGAATCATTTGCTTGTGTGGTGGTAGAAACTGTCACAACCTGTCAGAATTTGAAAATCAAATGTGCCATTTTTTGGCCATTGATACTGAGATCAAGCCATTTGCAATAAGATAGCATGACTTCATAGGATCTCTAAATTCAAGGAAGGAAAGTGATTAGAGAAGATGAGTGAGAAAAATGAGAAAAAGAGGTCATAGACATGGTAAGGGAAGGAATAAGTACCACAGGGACAGAGTCTCAATCCGAAGGCATTACCAAAAGGAAAGACATTTGTTAGAGAGATGCCCAGGAGCCCCTGTCTATGGGATGGGGTGTCCAGTAGGAGCCTGATACACATGTGTGACTTTTGTAACAAGTGTCAGAGAGACACAGAATGAGGTGCTAGTGAACCAGTAAGAGACAGAGCAGGTGCTCCAATGAATAAGTGACAGAGCAGATAGAAGACTTACCCAAGTAGGCCAGGAGAAAATGTGAGTAAAGTAAGTAGAAGAGAGAAACACTAGAGAAGTGAACTTAATTGTTAGAGTTAAATGTGGTGCCTGGCATAAACCAGCATAGGCAAAAGATCGTCAATCTGGAGGGTCAAATTGGCAGTTTGGTTTAGTTAGAAGGGGCAGGGCCCTTCAGAAAGGGTCCCAGTGTTCACCTCCTGGGCTTTGGCATGAAACGCAAGCAAGGGCACACTGAAACCACCAAATTGGACCACTTCATGGGTAGAAAGGCAAGCAGATTTTGTATGGCAGTCAACAGGGTGGGGGTCTTTGAGCTGATAAAGGCTGTTGGATTAACTGGGAACTAGATACCTTTGCCCCAGATAGTTGACTTTTGAGGCAGATTAAGGGAGGTTCATGATAAACAGAATCCCACCTTTAGGCCTCTGTTTCTCAATAACAGTCCTTCCACTTATCTGCCCAAAGTCCTTCTGTTTAGGACATTGTCACCAACACTGCCATTTTAGGGGGCTGGTTTGGACTAAACATGAACCTATGGTGGCCATTCTCACTCAAGCCATCGTGTTCACATTTTCACCATCAGCAGAGAGACACAGTACAACCACACAAACGATGGCATCTTCATTTTATCTTGACTTTCTTATTTAGCAGGAAAATGTTAAAATGGTGACTCTCTGACCCCAACCAAAATGTCCTTAATTACAATACCTGCAGGAAGATCTTTAGAAGACTGCTTCAAGTAAATACTCTATCTGACTCTAAGAACTATACAATTTGAAAAGCAATGGTGTCTGTTACTTTCTCAAAGGCAAAGGAAGGGATTTCAGACTAGAATTCATAAAAAATATAAGCTTATTTTTATATATTGTTTTTTCTTACTGTTTTGTTTCAGTTGTGTATTTGTTGTTATGACTTTCTTTTCTTTCTTTTTTTTTAGAC